TTTTTTTTTTTTTTTTTTTGTCTTTGTAGAGCCATTGTGTAGAAGTATAAATCACAAAACTTGTTGTTTATTATGAACTTAGATTTTTTAAGGTCAAATATATCTTCTTAAATCATCTAAGTGTTTGTAAACACCTGATTAAGTTTTTTTTCTTTGATTAACGTTTCTAGGAAGTTTCAGTATGAGAGATAAACATGATAAGAAGTGGTTGTATGTTATTTTATTAGTGGTATATCAAGTGAAAGGAATTTTTTTGCCAGTTGATGGTAATGTTTGTATGTCTATTTGCATAGGTAATTGCCAAATGTTAGTTTTCTATTAGTAGTATAAAGCCTACGTCTTTTCATCTCTTATTATATATTACAGAATAAATAATGTCTGATATTGATATGCGCGAAGATGATCTAACAAACATGGATGAAACTGATGAAGATGGGAGGAGAGAATAGTTACATAAATACATTCGGTATTCATACTTGCTCATTCAAGAAGTTTTTTATATGGTAAATGTGCTTATGGTTAATATGTGTCATGATCGTGCCAATTACCCATTAAGCAGAATGCCGAAAATCATGGATGATTATTATATATATAAATACTTTGCAAGTATTCTAGCGACATCCAAGAGGTCTATATAATGTATCCCGATGTATTTTCGAAATTTTGTCGTATCATTAGAGAGAAACAACTCTTGAACGGCACAAGGTTTGTTTCTATTGAGGAAATGCTTCCAACAAGTTTACTTATTGATGGGCAGAATAATCGATACTGTCAAGTACGCCAAGTATTGGTCGATCACATTTCACGCCTAGCCAAAATTCTAAAAAGGTATTGAAGGCACTAACCATATACTCTGTAGATATATTTGCTAAACTGGGATCTACAATGTCCCAGAAAATAAAAAAAAAAGTACACGATTTTACCCCTACTTTAAAGTAAATAATAACATTATTTATTTTAATTTTAATGTTACATAATGCTGTAAATTTCAACAAAGTTTGGACTGCATTGGAACTATTGGTGGCAAACATATTCAAGCGATGGTAATAGGACATGATACAAGTAGTTATCCAAATCAGCGACA